AAAAGTTTGAAATAATTCTCACTACTCTAAAACACCTCAAAACCTGCAATGCCAGTTACCAACAAGCCAAACTTAATACTTTTTCAAGTTAAGGCTGCTTTGCAACACATATACATACATACACACACGCTACGCAGCGCCAAATGGTCTGGTGTGAACATCCATTTCCAATTATAAACAATTTTTAACTAATTTTCATTATTATTTCACAACTCATGCCATACAAGTGAATGTACGCAACAAAAAMGGGTAATAATAACTACAGCAACAACAACAAGCGCAACAAAAAGTAATAGTAGAAGAAAATTTCCGGCAAGTCACTGCGGCGACCATTCAAGAAAGTCGCTTTTCAATAGCAAACGCGAGCAGCTTAAAACACCAATTTTCATTAAACAGCAAAAAAATTTAGAGAAAATAAAAAAAAATAAAAAAAAGAATCGAAAAAATCGGAAAAAAAGTTCAAAAAACTCAACAGCGCAAATGCGCTCCAATTCAGTCAGATAAAAAAACAACTACAACATAAGGCAACACATACAATTATACAAATTCTTGCCGGCAAGCGCGCTACACCACGCCACACTACGACACACACAATTTACCTGTTTCCAACTGGCAGCCAGTTCGTCATTACGCCGCTTTACYCCAGTCCACTACCAGTCAATACGGTGGGTGCGCGTGGCATGCCGAGCGCAGCGAAGCAACTAAAATTCCAATAATCATGATCAGCTTTGTGGCTTATTGATTGCGATCGCAACAACAACAACAAAAAATAACAAAGTAGAAAAAGGAGCAACAAAGAGCGAAAATCACAAATCAAATGAGTAAAGGAAGCCTCTGTGGCTAAAGAACAATTTGGCCGCKCACAGCTGTGCCATGCTGCCGTTCCACGTCTGCGCCGGCCTGTCATAGCCACAGCCTCCGCCACTGGCACCTACCGTGTGCTGGCAGCTTTCTTCAACAACTTAAGCTGTTGCTGCCAAGTTGTGCCACATGATTTGGTCTTTGCTTTGCGTACAACGCAGACGTTTTGGCGCGTCGGCAAAGTCTTTGATCTAGCGATCGCGCGCCCTTGCGCCGCCTGTGCCGCCGACACTTGCAATGATCCCCAACAACGCTGCAATGCTTTTGCTGATGTTGTTGTGCATGGCAACAGCACAGCACGTTCATCAGCAAAAGCAGTGGCGTAAGCTGCGCCTTCAGCCACATTATGCTGCGCGCGTGTGTKTATGTATGTCTAGCGCTGCGCGCAATGTGTTGTCCCGCATACGCTTGCGCATATTTTTCCGCATTGCTTTTACTTTAATTTTTAACTTTAACGTTAACTTTTTTCAGTATTTTTACTTTTATTTACTAATATTTGTGCCGTTTTTGCGTTTGCACTGTCTGCTTTTCATATTTTAATGATTTTTACTTTTATTTTTCGTGGCTGCGCGTTGCTTGCGCGCTCTTCTGGAATTTTATTAGTGCGCACAGCTGGAGCTGAAAGTGTGTAGAGTGTGAAAGAACRAAACGCACCGACGCAGCGCTTTAATTTTTCGGATGGCGCGCGGCTTATTAGTTTGCTTTGTGAGCTTATTGTAGCTCAGTTATAGCGGCCGCCGATGACCTGCCAGGCCGCGCTTGAGTTATTAGTCCCACCTTGCAGGCAGCCTTCAGCGTTTGCGCTTTAACGTCACTTGGCAGTCGCGCGCTTTGTTTGAGTGATCCTCATGACGTGAGCGCTGCATCTGCGGCTGCCTTATTTTAAATTTTWTTRTGGCATGATTTTCTTATATTTTCGACGCGCAGCTGGTCAAACGCTCACAACTTGCGCCTGTCGGTTTAACTAAACTACATTTGCATTTCGTTCACGTTTGATTTCACTCTGCCGCACTAACTTCCATACAGTTTAAATTTGTTGCTCATTTGGATTTGTGTGGCGCATACGCTTGGCGCGTTGCATAAAYAACTACACCGGCGCGCGCTATAACCACAACAATTGGCTTTTTGTTTGCGGCTTACATTGCCGCTTTTATTGTTTTGATGTAATTGTTGTTGTATTGTAATAGTTTTTGTGTGCGCCTGGCAAATTATTCAAATATTATTATTTTACAATGCACAATTTGCATTCATTTCAGCATTTAAATGCGATCGTGCGAACTGATCTCATCATAGACTAAGGCGCGCACACACACGGGCCCACACAAACACGCATGCGCCGGCACTTAAGTGCGCTTAAAGTAATCCTACGCCATCACAATGGAATAAATTAGTATTAAATTTTCGTGAAAAGGCACATGCGCTCACAGAGCTGAGCTGCTGCAATAATAATAAAAATAAAAGCAGAAAAATATTAAAAATCCGAAGAACAGAACCAGACAGYTTGTCTACGAAAATTTCGCATTGTCTTACATATAATTGCATTATACCGTTATACTCCACTTCGCAACTAATTGAGTTGCCACAATTGCCTCATAAGTTTAAGAGCATTGCTGAGCGCGTCGCTTGTTTAAGCAAAGATTTCACTAAGCGCGCCCACTAAGCCCAATTCTCTTAGCAGCGCGTTCAGAGGTATAAGGGTAATTAGCATCTGTCTAAACATAAGGTAAATAGCGCACATATACAAAGCAAATGAACGCGCTTAGGTTGACTGCATTGTGTGCTTGAACTACGCAAGGCATGACAGGCTACCACACACGAGCTTGCGCAAGCCTTGAACACATTGTATAACTTAATATTAGATGAGCAAAATGAACGTATAGTTTGATGAATTGCTTAAAGTGCGCTGGCAACAGTGCTGCGCAAATATTGAAAGAAAAAATTCACCTTAAACTCACCACACGCTAACGATTTCTTTAGACAAAAAAAGAAATAATTAAACCTATTAAAAAATATAAACAAATAATAGTTAGGAATAACGCCACAACCAGTAACGCTCATCAAAATACACCACTATAATAATTATACCCACCAAATTCACCACGAAACTAATATAAACATTTTCCCTACCATTACTTGCAGGACAAGGACGCGTCAACCAGCTCGGCGGCGTCTTCATCAATGGGCGCCCGCTACCCAATCACATACGTCGTCAAATTGTGGAAATGGCCGCTGCCGGCGTAAGGCCGTGCGTCATCTCACGCCAGTTGCGCGTTTCACATGGCTGCGTCTCGAAAATACTGAATCGCTATCAGGAAACCGGCTCCATACGTCCGGGTGTTATTGGCGGCAGCAAACCGCGCGTCGCCACACCGGATATTGAGTCGAAAATTGAGGAGATGCGTAATGCTAATCCCGGCATTTTCAGCTGGGAAATACGCGCTAAGCTCATTGAGTGCGGTCTATGCGATAAGAATACCGCGCCTTCCGTAAGCTCGATCAGTCGCTTGCTACGCGGTGGCAATAGTRGCGCACACTCTGAGTCCGGCAGCTCAGCGCATTCCATTGATGGCATACTCGGCGCTGGCGGTTTATCGAATGGCTCGGGCGATGAGAGTGACGATGATGCCGAGCCGGGCGTACAGCTGAAGCGCAAGCAGCGTCGTTCGCGCACCACCTTCTCGAACGATCAGATCGATGCATTGGAGCGCATATTTGCACGCACACAATACCCCGATGTGTATACGCGTGAGGAGTTGGCACAGAGCACCGGCTTGACCGAGGCGCGCGTACAGGTGTGGTTCTCGAATAGGCGTGCGCGTTTGCGCAAACAATTGAACACCACACAGCAAGTGTCCAGCTTTGCCGCCAGCACTGCAGGTGGACTCAGCTCGGCTAGTTTTGCTAGCGCCGCCGCCGTTGCTTCACCATATCATCCACATCATCATGCGCATCACCATCACCATGCCGCCGCCGCTGCTGCTGCACACACCATGTCCGCTTCGGCCGCTGCGCTGTCGCACAATCACACCCATCAAATGGGTCTATACAGTCAAGCKTGGAATACATTTGGCAGTAGCGCTGYCACACAAGCCGCAGCCGTTGCTGCTGCCTCTAATGTCTTTGAACCGCATCAGAATTTTGCTCACTCAAGCGGTTCGGTGGCGTCCATGTCGCCAACAAGTAGCGCCGCCAGTTCGGCTTCACTGAGTCCAGCGCATCAGGCAGGCGCTACCGTCAGCATCAACAACAACAACAACGATGTCGGCAACACCAATTACAGCAACAACTCAAGTTACGGCATGCCGTCGGCCACGACAACCAGCTCAGCTACATCGACGGCTGTCAATAGCAGCTCTGCAGCAGCCACCGTCGCAACCAACTCGGCTGCTTATGCCACATCCTCCACAGCTTATGGCTTGGGCACCAGCAGCAACTTCACCACTGCCACCTCGGCTGAGCAGCTACGCTCGCAATTCGCTTCGGCTGCTGCTTCGGGCTCTCATCATCCCGCTATGTCGTCATGGGACTCGTACAACTTCCCTGGTTCGTTCTTCTCGTCGGGCGCAAATCACATGGGCGGCTATTCCCAGAGTATAAGCGAGCACAAGTCGACAGCCAGCGCAGCAACATATCCGTATTTCGGTTTCTAAGTCGAAAAGAAATGAACAYTGTGTATTAAAAAATTGTAGCAATTTTATTGTAAGACTGTAGCATCTGTAAATCAGTTAAGAACTTATATAACTATTATAGTGTAGAAACTACGGGACCACTCATCCAGTTGAATCGTTAAATTATACCTGTGCCTCGACAATCTGAATATATATATGAGGTATAAGCATTCTGAAGAGCTCAAGACTGAGTATTTTTGTTGTATTTTTTATAATTATTTTGGTCTTTAGTTATTTCTTAAGAAAATTAATAATTAAGCTAATTAGATTTTAAGTAAGTAATCGTTKTTTAGTTATGAAAACTTCGGCAAACCAATAAAATCAATTTTGAAAAATAAATTTCAGGTCTATTTATTTGCTAAATATCAGGACTAACAAATCTTATCTTGTTTGGCATTTCTAACTTGGAAAATCGAATGTTCCCAGAATAGATTTCGAATTAAACATATTTCTTCAGCATATTCTAACAYAAATTTCTCCTATTTACATCTTTCTCTGATAACGACTCTCTTTCGCATCATTAGTGGCAGCTTTTGAAGCTCGAAGCTTTCATAATAACAACTTTTTTTTCGCAAAGTTAATCAGCAGCTTTTAAAGCTCGAGACTTTTTAATAACGACGCTCTTTCGCATAGTCCGCAAAAAGCGTTTAAAGCTCAAAACAATCGGACAAAAACACGCATGTAACAGAGAATAAAAAAATTTTGAAACTTTTTAATAAAATTTTTTTTTCTGACATAGTACTTAGGTGAAGTAAGCTTTCGAAGCACGAAGCTTTCACAATAAAATTTTTTTCACTAGAATAAAAACACGCATAGTAACTGAGTACAACAAATTTTCGAAGTTTTTTAATAAAAACTTTTTCCTAAGTACTATAGGTAAACAAAGCTTTTGAAGCACGGAGCTTTAATAAATTTTTCTAGTATGGTCACTAGTTAAAACAGCCTTTCGACACTCGAGGCTTTCATAATWAACATTTTTTTCTCACMTGATTGCTGAGYRGARCAARCTTCCGAAGCTTTCATAAAAACTTTTTTTGGCATAGTTTCTAGGTAAAGCAAACTATCAAAATCAAAGCATTCTCAAAAACCACTTATCTCGCTTAGTCGCTAAATAAAGCAAGATTTCACCGCTTGAAGCTTCCATTATAATTTTTTTCACACAGTCGATGAGTAAAGCATGTTTTCAATTCACGAACCTTTCACAATAATGACTTGTTCTCGAATATTGACTGGGTGGAAGCTCGCAGCTTTCTAATAAAACCTTTTTCTGATACAATCTTACTAACTTATCTAAAGCAAGCTTTTCAAGCTCGAAGCTTTCATAATGAAAAGTTTTACTCACATAGTGACTGAATAAAGCAACATGTTATACCTCAAAGTTTTATTCACGTAGACATTAGGTAAATCAAGCTTTTGAAACGCGGAGCTTTCAGAACAAAAAAATCTCACATAATAACTCAGACCAAGAAATTAAGGTGAGTGTGTCAGAAAATTTCGGAAAAATCTCGAGAAAACTCAGAAGTTAAATTTGATTTAACCGATCATAGCACTATARTGTATATATAAATATATRTATTTATATAGTTGGGAGATTCTTAATACATTATTTGTTTATTTGAGTGAAATTGTATTTGAACTCTTCAAAGTAAGAGTAAAAATTACTAAGTTGGAATAATTAAACTCTCATAGACAAAACTTATGACTTCTGTTTAGAGTATGAGATTCATTGATCAGTCAAAAGTCATAATTTCTTYAATTCAATCAATATCAATTTTGTTATCAATACAATATCAATTCTATCAATATAATTCCCGGGACTGCCCTGTCCGACGAGCCTTGGAGTTTCACTTCACACTTCCTTTACCCATGACTGAGATTTAACGATTTTGAYCACAATCAGCCAGCTCGCAGCATCGAAAGTTGGCATAGGCATGTCCAGGTCTCTCCAACCACTTTAACGGGAAGCTGATCTAGCAACTTCTATTCCACTGCTTTCAATTGCTACCACCTCTCCTGCCTCAGGGAGTTTAAATGGGTTAGTGCGCGTCACGATTAAGTGTCTTTTGGTTATGGAGCTGTCGTTGGGCCTTATAGCGTTATCCTTTCGCTTCGGTCATTTAACCAGCCTAGCTCGATCAGTAAAAAGCGTTTATTTCTTCAATTCTCAAAATATTACAGAAACCTGTAAGAATTATAGGCGCCAATGACAACTTTGGGCTAAGTGGAGGTATTCCTTCACTCCTCAGCTSTGAGTGTGTCTTATAAACTTCAGATTATTGATCAAAAAATTATTTAGCGGGCATCTGAAGGGATTTTTCGGAAATAAAAAAATAATTCAGTCTATATATTCAAATGTTTATACACACATCTTTTATTATTTTTATTTTTTTATAAATATTTTTTTTTTTTCATATTCAAGCCAGCATTGGTGCCTTTAAGCAACGATCGAAGTGCTAACTCACTTACTCATCAAACTAATTCGTTTTGCCCAATTGAACGCCGACAATAAGTACTGTATTTCGACTTCACCTACCGCCTACTTACACCTAATGCGCATACACATACACATCTCACATCTGAGGTTCCTACATGCTCTGCTCGCCGTAGGCGGCGAAGATCAAACAACAAATACGTTGGTGGTCGTCATATTGTTTTTGCACATCGCTCTCCGCCTCCAACAGCACACTCACTCGTCCATTATTAGCTGCCTAAGTATTTAGGCTCTTTGTAATTGGCTTCACACACACACACATGTTTACGCACACMTATGCCACCTTTTGTTGTTGTCTATTTAACTTTTCACAAAACATATTCCATTACACRCACACAATTAAGCAAGTTCTATGGCATTTTGATGAAAATAATTTTCATATTATCGGGTAGTTGGTCTACATTGCGACTTTCCTCTCTYATAGTTATTGAACTGTTGGCTGGTTGAGTTGAATTGGATCGGTCCTTAGCCATGGTGTCTGCGCTGCATTGTGGTGGGGGTTGGCCGCGTCTATCTGTTGACAAAGCAGTTTTTCTTCTACAACAATGTGGGCCAAATCTTGTTCCCACTCTGTTTCTATTTAGTTGGTGTTGTTGTTTGTGGGAAAATTTCGAAATGCCTGGAAAACGTGCCTTCAACAATTGCCAATTGTTCGTCATTATTTTATTGTTTCTTGCTCGCTTTAACACGACATTTTGGTGTGCGCATCACTTTTTTGCTATTGTTGTTGGTTTTTTTGTTTCAAGCGAGTGYTAGTCTTTTGGAAAATACAAAACTCATGGAACACCCAAGTCGTTGTTGAATGTGGTGAACTTGTATGCTGGGTTTTGCACTTGTCATATTCGCTGTCATCTTTTTTATGAAACAACATTTAGTTATGTATAGAACCAAATGAAGCTGAAATGGTATTTTGGAAACCCCTAAATATCCATAAGCCTTATACGATGACATGACGTTTATCTTTTATTCCCACCTAAGCCGAATTGCATGAGTTTGCTGTTAATTTAGACTCTTATATAAWTTAGATATTGCTTACTGTCCTTCGYAACACTGCCCAAGTGTTTGTGGTATCCTTCCGCTTCGGGGATTCTAATAATGATATGATGTATTCCTCATATTCTGTAAAGARATTTTATTCAATATAATCTAATCCTTCCGAAGATTGCTGATTTCAAGTTTCGAAGTTTATCAACCTATCTTCGGATAAATATAAGATAAGTTTTTCTCAAAGCGTTTTCTTGTTGCTATATTGTTTATGCA